TTATTTAATTAATATTAACAAAAAATTAACTTAAAAGAAGTTTCATATTTCAATAACATTTTTTATTCATTGTTATACGAATTTTGTAAGAAAACGTAGATACTTTTATAACATGAGATCTAATTAGGAAAAAATATTCGAACTTAAAATTTTTTTATTTTTTTTATAACTTAAAAACATGGACTTCAATAATAAATTGTTTTTGGCGCGATTAAATCGCAATTAAAATAGTTTTTGTAAATAATTTTTGTAAATAGTAATTTTTGTAATAGTAAATAGTTTTTGAATTGGTACACGTGTTGACTGCCTGATTGCACAAAACGAACTGACGAGAGAAAAGAAAAAGTACATAGACGGACAACTGCGCAGCTTGCATAATAACGGGAATATTTAAAAAATATAAAACGGTAGAGTCACTGTGACCGGCGTTAGGTGGCTAAGGGTTAAGTGTTGATATCGCAAGGGACCTTGGCTTATGGTTTTCTAAGTGTGCCCCATGTCTTGGGGAATCCACCTTACCAAACTCTCCAATCGGCCAACTAAGTACTTATTCTTTGAAAATTTAACAGGAAAAGCCAAATCCTGATTATCGAGCCGTTACTTTACTCGAACGTGTACTTAAGGCCATCCTACCAATATTGGCTTAGAAGGTTGCCACATATTTCAAAAATATACATAAATAAAAATGTTAACTATAAATTTTCAGTGCTGTAAAAAATATGATAAAATCGAAGGTAGATTGAAGAATTTGAAATGATCTTACAGGGAGTTACTACTCATCAAAAAAAGCGATATTATCTGATTTTTTCTATAAATTTATTATGATCCTCTCTAAAATCCGATTTCTTTCTTTATAGGCTATGGCTCGAATGCGTTAAGCAGCGTGGGCGTGAGTGTTGGAAAGTCGTCGCTCGATCCGCACTCACATCTCAGACAGCCAGGTAAGTCGAAATTTAAATTCCGAATAATCCTTTGTATTGATTTGCTGTGAAAGTATGACACGAATGAAGTTATTCAAAAATATTTAAACTACCCTTGAAGCTGGTGAAAATCCCATATTAGGCATTGTTGCTCCAAACAAATTCAGGCTTTCGCATTGAAGCACTTGCGAGTGCCACTTAGAATGAGAAACAAAAGCAAAAAACAGAAACAAATACTTTAAAAATGCTTTAAAAGCGATACAAAAACGAGTGAAATCCATTTGCGGCGCGTGTGTTTTCGTCTCAACGACTTACTATGCGCGCCAAATCAAAGCGACATTGACACAGAGAAGTAACAACAACCCGAAGAAAAACAAAAAAATACGCACAGGACGACAACAACACTCCAGCGCATTCGTATAAAAAAAAAGTAACTATTGTATATAATAAATATGAGGAATGTGTGCAATTGTGCGCAAGGTAAAACACTTCACTTTAAAGTGTGCCCAAATACTCGAAGAGCAAATAACAAAGCAAAAAAAAATAAACAAAAAATCGAAACAGAAACAAAGCAACTCTATTTTGAGTGTGCTCTGCGAAAGGCTGGCGTGGCGTATTGAGGCTGCCTGCCGGTCTGACGGGGGGCTCTGACTGACTGGCATAGTGGCGAATCAAACCTAAATTCGCCACTTCACAACTACTTGAAACACAAATAAAATGGAATGTGTTTGGTAAAAAAAAAAAATCTCAATCCGCGATAGAGGGAGGGAAATGAAATGAAATAAAATAAAAGCGTCGAAAAAAAATCGAAATGAAACAATTGAAATGCCATAAAACGTTCTCAATTAGTGTTGAAGCTGTGGCTAAGCTGCTGAAAAAAGGCGGCAAGTTGCTGAGCAAGCAAAGCGTGACACGCCAGGCTGGTACATGGAACTGGGGATGCTGGAAAACAATGCGTTGAAAGCGCAATGAAGTGAGAGATTGAGTAAATACAACACAGCAATAAGTAAGTTGATGAATGCTCAGCGTATGTGTGCTCGTTTGCGGTGACGGTGCTGTCAAAATTGACTGAAAATGCATTTCGATTTCATGTTGCAAATATGAATGAGAAAAAATGTATTTTCGTTGAAATGTTTTTGGAGACGTACGCGTGCCAAAGCTGCCAATATGACGCACGCATCAAAAAGGTAACAAGTCGCTTGGAAAGCATGACGGCCGCGGCGCACAGTGTGATGGATATGGGTAAAAATGGGCACTTCGTAGTCGAAAAAAGCGAAAAAGCTTACATAGGTATATATGTATATATATTTTTTTCATGAAGGGAGAATAACGACAGAGAAAAGTCAAACTACTGATAATTCTCGGAAAGATGGGCTTATGCATGGAACTTTTGAGGTTCCAAACAACAGCCGAAAAGTTTACATCACTAGAAATGTTAGGCGGAGTTTAATTTCGTTAAAATAACGTTAAGATTACTTTGTACGAAAAATGTGTGGTGATAAAATTTTTAACCTAGCAGACTCCCAAAAAAAAAAAAAAAATTTTTAGCTTCTTTTTGTTTGTAAGACTCACGATATCCGAGAAAACCTATTCAAAGAGTTGCGACGTACGGCAGGTACTGGGTTTGTAAAATTTTTAATCTTCTTATATTTTAAAAAGCGCGTGATGCCAAATGGTGCCAATTCAAATAAAAAATCTTTCAAAAGATAATTTTTATTTTTATTCATA